AGTCCCCGCTGATGCCCCCGCCCAAGCACCAGTCTAGCGTTGAAGCCACAGGGGGTTTCGGGTAGCCTGGGCCGCTGATTGGCCCGCTGTGCCCCAGCGGCATTGAAGGTTGTGAGGCTTTGCCCTCTGATCAGAAACGGCCCCCAAAGTCTTCTGCTGACCCCTGGATCCGTGAAGAGAGGGAGGGTGCACAAACTGGCAGGGCAGAGTCCATCGGCACCTTGGACTCGAGCGGCCGCGACCCCATAGCTGCTTGGCATGCCCTACAGCAGAGAGATGGCTACATTTCAGGCTTGGGAACATGCTGCTCGTGGTTAATTGTCCGCCCGTGGTGCATTGACACCTTGGTCGTATGTGGTTCCTTGTTCGGCCGCCTTATTGCAACTCGATGCAGACAGACGTACATGACATCGCCTTGCGCTACCTGACCTGACCTTGCACCGCATGTGCGTTGCCTTACCTCACAGCCCTTCTCCTCACCCCATTGCTGGATTGACCACTGACCGTGCAATCTACCCTCCCATCGCCCGCAGTAGGGCTGCTTCTAGCTGCGGGCCTGGGGGGGCCTTAATTATCTGTCTGTCATCCCTATCACATCTGACCGCCCACCCGCCCGCCTTTTCCCACCCAACAGCTGCCCGCATCCATGCCATCGACCGACCAGGTCCTGGACTGGTGTCGCTGGTTACTCGATGGAGAAGAATTGCGCTGGACGTACACAGATTTCCTCATCCGGGCAGGGTCAGATATCCGACCCAGCTCCATTGCCGAGCGAGCTATGTCGCCAGGGCTGGTTAGCACGTCCCCTGCGCCAAGGCTGCACGTTGGCGGCCGAATGCTGGCAGCCCAGCAGGCGATGACCTGCCGAGCATCATGTAGATTGCAATTGATGGAGCGGAAACACCGTGTCCCCGTACGTACACTACACTCTGCCCGTCTCTCGCCCACTCGCCTGACCCTCCTTCCCCCAGCTTGGCATGACTCGCTGATCCCCTCTCATCTCCCTCCTCCGCAGCCGTCATCATCACCCTATTTGCCCTGCCCTGCAGGAACATGTACATACCTTGAGAGAGGCTTGTTCACCAAAGACCACCATCGCCAGCTGCAAGTGTTGCCACCAAAGAACCGAGCCGTGATCTCCTCTTAGTAGCCAAATCTTATTTTTAGTCGTCTTGTTCATGCACTTGGCCGCCCGGGCGACTAAACTGGCCTCGAAGACGCTAAAAATAAGCCTCCCGTTGGGCGACTTCTTTCCCACTAGGGGAAAATGCCACGGGGGTGACATAATCGGGCCAGCACAGGCGATTCTTAGTGCCTACAGGGCCGTCGGATGTGGGCTCGACTCGCTCTCGCTAGCGGCGCTCCCTGGCGCTTAGACAGCCCTGGCGTGTGAGTCCCGTTCGCGGTGCTACAAATCTCTCCCGCACCAAATCTCGTACGAGAGAGCACACGGCTACGTCTGTCTTGGATGGGGGAGGGGGTATACATTCCTGGGCTGCTGGCCGAGCCAACATGGCTGTCTTATTCGGCCGCCCGGGGGAGAGGGAGGGTTTGGCTCTCGTTGGATATCCCTGCCTCTCTCGGCATCAAGTGTCAATGATGCAGCATGTGTTTTTCAAGTTTTCGAGTCCAAGCCACGCTTTTTCGAGGGCCAATCGCTGCACACCTCCATCTAGGGAGAGAGGGAAGACCTGATCCCTTTTGCAAACCGATCATGATCGCGCACCGCTTGGGAGGTTGTATTACAATAGGTCGCATCAGCCCTCTGTGTGCACACGCCTTGCCCTGTTTTCTCGGCTGTTTCAGCGGTCGCCCGGAAGCCATGCCCAGCGCACTGACAACGCCTCCCTCCCTCCCCCAAACTCTCCAATATATATAAATACATATGGTTTATCGCCCCCCCGATCGGAAGCTTGTCGCGATATGGTCCATGCAGGCTGCTATATACCCAGGCAAACCCGGAACCAGATGAAGCTCGCCACATGCACCTATTATAGCTCTGGAAACATATCAATCGAACTGGGAACAACGCGCGAGCTGGGCTCTATCGCCATCACATGTGTCGGGGTTCAGGCGCCCGGAGTCCGTGTCCCGACCTTCTAGCGTTCTGTTGCTGGTGGCTGATCTTTCAGGGATGTGGCCACTTCGCACAGCCGTACAAGAGATTTGTTCTTTTCTCGCCCGGCTGGGCGTCGGCTCCACCTCGCCTTACAGGAGCTCCATCTTAGCATCTTGCGCGTTATGAGCCAGCAGCTGAGCAGGTAATAAACCCACCCGAAAATCATCGGTGGAGCTGGTTGGTCTCCGGTGGAGTTGGGTGTAAGATGAGGTCTTGGAAAATTGGCAGCATCTTGGGTGGTTGTACATCAGTCACGCCCGTTTGACGGTTAAAAAACTTAAAAGTACATGTACCGCTGGAGTCGTGCTGCCTGGGATCTCCAGCCAATGGGTTCCTTGGCCAGGCCTCAGGTAGATGACTTCAGATTGCTACGTTGTATGCAATCTCCCTGGCCTGTGCTACCACCACCGCGCTGCCGGTTACGTAGATGCAGTATGCAACCACAGCCCCCTGTCATAATGACTGTGAGAGTGTCTTGGGTTTACTCATGTACTTCGTGTATTCGAGTCCACAATTTGGGTACCCCATCCCATATGATGAGGCTTGACTCAACAAGGGAGGAGGTGGGTGAAGGTGCATCTCCGGATCCTCTAATTGGGTGGGCAATTGTGGGCTAGGCGATTGCCGTAACGGGCGAGATAGGCCGAAAAGCCATGGATGCAAATGATTGCACTCAAAGGAACAGCTTGCAGTCAGGAGAAATGTGAAGATTGCTCCGGCCAAGTGGCCCAGCTCCTACTCATATATCTGCATGTCTTGGAAATTGTCATGTTATCGTAACATCTGAGAATGGGTTATGCATATCTTGCTATTAATAACGCGGCCATTGCCCATTCATCATTGGACTAAGACAAAACTTACTGGCCGTCGGAGATATCTGTTTCTGGAAAAAGAAAAAAGTGGGAGCAGGTGCTTTTATCTGCCTTGCGTGCGTATACGTGCCAAAGGAGCCATCGGGAGCAGCCACTCAGCCGTCATGAAGGGTGCATATCGTCATGAGGATGCATGAACGCTCCTCGGTGCCTGGAATTTGGGAATTTGGGAAACAGCCGATCCGGAAAGCCTCCCCATAGGTGACTTTTGTCGAAAGAAGCCCGCTGGGGGTCGGGCACAGGCCCCCAAATCACAGCCTTGTGAGATTCGGCGAGGCTGAACCGTACCGAAGAACCGCTCGGGAGGACTCATCAACTCATCAACCAGAGGGACATCGGACCAGTACGAGGCAAGTGACGTAAATAGAGCCCTATAGTCCATCCTCTCGGTCACTTGATCTTGCATCCTGACCTGCTTGTGCCGCCCGCTAGAGCCCAGAGAACAGGGCAAAGCACAGCATCGGGTGGGGCAATGGCTGTTCGCGCTGTCTGGCCGGTGGAAGTCGTCCAGAGTAGGTAGGTAATCAGGCAATTGAATTAATTTAAAAGAGACTCGATTTCGGCAGAGCCTCGCTGGGTGGCCCCGCGCGGCCCCCAAATGCCACCTTGATAGGGACCTTTGGTGAGTAGTACGACCGAATTTGAGTTGTCAAATCGGATAGGCAGACTGGCGGGCGCAATTGGAGCCAGCACCAAGGCGGTGGCTCGTGTGACTTGCGGGAGGGCATGTGGTGCGAGACTCGCTGGACTCGATCCGGGCGTCAATGAGGCCATTGGCGCCTGCCGCGAGGGGAATTGACTCACCTGGCGAGTTTCACGGTTTCCCAAGGCAGCACGACACAAGATCCTCACTGCCATGAGCTGCCGCCTGGTTGGTGCCTGGGCGGCCTGGTCTCCCGCCCCATGCGAGGGACTTGGGTTCAAGCCAAGCCGAGCATTCACGCACGCATGCGCATGGCCGCGTGTCTGGATCTATTGTCTAGATGTCTGTTGTCCTTTGTGTGTGAGTCAATTGAACAGCAATTGCAGCAATTGTAGGCAGCATTGTAGGCAGCAAGTGCTCGGTGCAATCTGCAGGCCCAATGGCTCGCTAAGCTCAGCACAATGGGCGCTCCACCCAGTGAATGCAAGTCAGTAAAGGTTTCCTCTTCGGTGCCTGTGCTCGGACGTTGTATCGCGTCTACGCCAGCCCCTCTCCGCGCCAGAGCTGAGGCTACCGGCATCCGATTCGCTACAGCCCCTGATGAGATCCTAAAACCTGGCGGCGCATGGGTGCTGATTTGACGCTGCCATGATCGGCTGGCGTGACCATGGGTTGGGACCGTTGGCCCCGAACATGGACAAGGCCCGACCAGGTGGGCAAATGGTCGTGAGCTAGTCAAGAGCTTGTTGGTTTCGTCCCGGCGTGGGCTCGCTCGGCACGCGCTGTCATTTCCAATTGACGCTCTGCTCTGGAAGCTTGGAAGCATGGCACTCCTCGAGCTGTCCTTGCCACCGTGGGGAAAGAGCCCAATGCCAGACAGACCCCTTGCTGGCCATCAGGCTATTGCTATTCCTGTCCCATAAGGCCGACTCCCCCAATCCACCAGTCAGCGATGATTTGCCTAGAGGGGGGCAATTCTGTCTGGAGCTTGCTTTGCCGCATGCTATCGTGCCGTTGACAAGTCATGATCCATTTCGCACACCAAAAAAATGGCCTTTTCCTGGTGATCTGACTTTGCTGTCCTAATCCTGTCTCGTCGTAAACCGCCACCGGCCCCTACACCTGCGGCCCCATCTCTCGGTATTGACCTCTCTGAATCAAATCCTTGGCCGCGCTATCCTCTGTGCCCTTCTCCATCGCTCGGTTTACGAATCTGGACCCCAGAGAGGACAGCCTTGCGGTATTCAAAAGTCGTAGAGGAGCGAGGGGCGTAGCAGACAAGACAACTACGCCGTTCTCCATTTCTATTTCGATTCAAGTCTTTCTCCTTCTTCATCATCTTCCTCCTCGAGTATAAGACCTCATCATGGGAACCGACAAGAGTCCAGGTGCTATAGCATCATCATCACCACCGTTGTCAACATCAACATCTTCACCAGCAATTCCTCCCATTGCCTCTCAACTTTCGTCCGTGTCTGCAAAGGAAGAAACGAAGCTCGCCCTCCCACCGATTCCCTGGCAATTAGCAATCAACTCTCCGCCTTCAACGCACCGAACCACCTCAGTAAGTTTCCTTTCTCTCTTTCTCTGCCCTCGTCCTCATTACCTCTATGGTTTCTTTCCCAATTGCGCCGTCGATTCCCATGTTCCTGCATAACTGACCAGCTCTGTAGCCTTCCAACATGGATCCTCGTCCCCAAGGTGGTAACTCTGGCAGCTCATCTAATGGCTCTGGAACAAACGGAGGCACTATCCTCGATGCCTTCCTCCCTCGCGTCGAGACTCGCGGCCAGGGCGGCGGAAAGCCTTACTCGAGCTCTTCGGGGCAGAGCAATGGCGGAACCCGATCGTCAGTCCCGACTGGAAGCTCGTCTTCTGCCAAAAAGGAATAGAAAGAACAGTCACTAACCCGGGCATGTAGTTAAATAGCAACCCATATGGCACTAGATTCTGAGTTTACTTGCTACGGCAAGATTGCATCGCGTTCTTATTTCTGTCAATTTGCTTCTGGATTCATGCTAGAGAGGGCGTCGACGCCGGCGTCTCTCCCCCACGCCCGAACTGTCTTGGAACAATCGCCAATGCCGCGGCCGGCTCTTGCCTGGTCTCAGCGCCTACAACACCCACGACGAATACGCTCCTCCCGCCTTACGACCGACAGGCGGGAGCCAGCTCTTTGCCGTCCATAGGGCTAGCCCGGGATTGATGACTACGACGAGCTCGGGGAGGGTGTGGACAGGGTTATAGAAGAGGAGGATTTCCCGTCGGAGCGTATCTGCTTGCGACACTGTTCTGACTGCATTGGGGCGACCCATCATTGATACAAGCGATTTTCACCAGCCTGCCATTTTCTTTGCCGTCCCTCTGTTTTAGCATTGGGCAGAGTTACTCATTCCTCTGGTCTCTTTTTCTGGTTTTGATCTGTTTTTGGCTATCCGCATGTTTTGTTTTTGCTTTTCTTTTTTGGACCCATGTCTTTTCAACAAGGCTCAGTCCCCGAAGTACTTCTGCATTTTTTTTGCTTTTTGACTTTAGATTCAGTTTTGGCCGAGCCCTTGCGTGGGATCAATTAGCTTACACACTCGTTCCGCTCTTATCCACACGCATCGGAATTATAGAACTCTTACACCGATCTCACGGGACCCCCGCGCATCCTTTTGGTGAATGTACCTACCGACGGCGTCTTGCGATTCGCGAATACGCTTGTGCTGATGATCTGCTCCTTTCCCCCCTTTCCTTGTTCATCTTACGACTTGATTGATTAATTAGATGACAATTGCGCTGGCAATTGACCGGATACGACTTGGGCTTCGCGTCCCTGGGACCAACAATGGTAAACACCCGCCCCGCCCATTCATCTCACATAATACATCGCAGCATCTTTCCCTCCTCGGCACCAACAAATACATGCGTGGGCTCGCGGTTCGCGAGCGGTTGGTTCAGCGGTGGAGGAGGGGGAAGAAGAGGGGGGGCTCCAATGGTAAGTCATGTCCCGAGTAAGCTCCGGAAAGAGGAGCCCATCCGACGTGCAGAAACATTTATTACCTGAATTGCGCATCATGGAGCGAGGGAAACGCTGCCATGAGATGAGACTTTGTCGCCCAAGGCTCTGACCGGTCCCGCAGCCGGCGGGACCAACAGCAAGCGTAGAAGTGCGCAGATTAAGGTGCCAGCGGTGGGCCGGTCGGTCGAGATGCACGGCCAGTCGCAAAATGGCGGAACGCGCCATCAATCACACACCCTCTGTTGTTCGGCCGCAGGTCGCAGGGCTATGCTATTGTGTGTAATACATATGCTGTTGGGCCGCTTCAATGTGACGGGTGACGCATTGGAATGTTGCTCCTCTCTGCCTGGGCCCCCCGCTCATCAGCTCAGCTCGACAACTCGCAAACCTTTGCCTAGTTGGGGCTAGACGTCGCATCGTGGGCGAGAATCTTCTTTCCTCTTTTGCTCCTCTGCTTAGGGGATGCATTGCGGATGGACATCTATCATGCTGACGAGGGCATTGGAGGTAGATGGACTCGAATTATTGATGGTAACATTGGCCGTTGGTCGGGTACGGGCAAGGCATCAGCCCTCCGAGGAACTAATTGATCGACGTGCTGGGGGTAAGGGTGGGCCAGAGATGCGGAAGAGGGATGTGGAGATGGCAAAAGGTCTTTTCTGTAGGTTTTGAGATCCTCGCTCTGCGCCCCGTGAGTGGCTCGCAGGTCATGCTTCGTATAAATGAGAATCCTTTGCACAGCCTTCGCCCAGAATCCGTCTTCGGCCCTATGAGTTGCGTGATGCGTAGAGACTAGACGTCACATGTCTCGGCTACCAGCAACTCTGAGGGCGATCAATACGTATGGAGGGGAGAACGTATGTTGAATTCAAGGTGTGGAATGTGCCCAGAATGGGATCGCCTTACACAGCCGCCGCCCTGTTTCATAGCAGAGCGCACATGCGAGACAATATGAGGCTCTGAGATGCGTTTGTGTCGACTAACCTACCCTGTAGTGGGCGCGATTGTGAACGCGCCTGTTTTAATTGGTTTCCCCACAACGAGCCCCCGCGACGCGTAAAGTCGCGTTGACCCTGAACTTGTCTACCACGCGCAGTGACGTTTGATGGAGCATACCAAAAACTCGAGCTCAGCAACCAAGAAGAGACTGCCGACGTCGACATTAACTCGTCAAGATGCTGCGCCATAACCACGATAGAATCGATCCCAAGAGACGCAATGTCGTTGACCACCGTAGGAAGCAGTTCGCCACGCCCCAGTACAAGAGCGTCGACTATCCCTATCGCCTCAACTTCTACGCTGATGCGCCCACGGCCGACATCACCCTCGAACAGTTTGAGCAATGGGCCATTGACAGATTAAGAGGTTAGTCGTGGTCAAATATCTATCTCGTTTACCACGAGCCTAACACTTTCTTGAAGTCCTTGCGGAACTGGAGGCATGTTCCTTCCGCAACAAATCACCAGCAGAGACCGCAACGCATATGAAATCCATTGTCGACAAGTATCTACCGCTCGACTCGAACACCAGTTCTTCCAAGATCGCCCTGCAGAGACAGAAAGATCACTACAGCCACTTCATCCTCCGGCTGGCATTCTCATCGACAGAAGACCTGCGTCGCCGATTCACCAGGGTTGAGACGATGCTCTTCCGGATGAGGCTTGCCAGCGACAACGAGAATGAACGCAACAGCTTCATCAACAGTTTGAATCTGGACTGGTGTCTCCCCGTGACGGACGAGGAGAAGGCAGAGCTTGCGTCAGAGCTTGCAGACGTGAGCCCTAGGAGGACGAATGTTGAGGAGGAAACATGGTTCAAGGTCGACTGGGAGCGCGTGCCCGATCTGGTCGAAAGCCGTCGAGTGTTTATCAAGCGCGGAATGGCCTATGTGCCCGGCCGCGAGCAGTCCAGTATGATCACCGTAGAGTTTCAGGCGAGGCTCGAGAAGCAACTCGAGGTAAGAAGAAGCATCTCCACCGCGCGGCCATAACGACTAACACTATCTTAATAGCTGACCGCACGAGCCCTTCCTCGTCTCGATGAGGACGACCGTCTGACTCCTATCCTGAACCATCTCTCCAAGAACTTCATCACCCCCGATGCGGCCTACATGTCCGGCACTTCCGCCCCTGACGGAGCACAGATCTCGGCCGCCAACATCGACAACCTGTCACAGCACTTCCCTGCTTGCATGTCGCATCTCCACCGCTCGCTCCGCCGCGACGCCCACCTGAAGCACTTTGGCCGACTGCAGTACACGCTATTCTTGAAAGGCATCGGCCTGAGTCTCGAGGAGTGCCTGATGTTCTGGCGCAACGGGTTCCACAAAATCACCGAGGAGCAGTTCAACAAGGAGTATCGCTACAACGTCAGGCACGTCTACGGCGACGTGGGCGGAGACTCGAATCGCAGGACCGGCGGCTACAGCCCCTACAGCTGTCAGAAGATCCTGACGGAGCACCCACCTGGCCCCGGCGAGGCTCACGGCTGCCCCTACCGACACTTCAGCAAGGACAACCTGGAGTCGCTGGTGCAGGCCATGGGAGTCTCTGATAGCAGTGTTCTGAAGGGCATCCATGAGGACAGGGGCAAGAATCAGCATCACATGGCTTGCAACAGGTAAGGCGAAAGCTGAAATGATGCCCCCAAAAAAACGAAATTCTTGATGAAGCAGGAGGCTAACCATTGTGTAGGGTATTTGAGCACTTACACCAGAACGAGATCAAGAGGGCCAAGGCCGAGGAGATCCTCACCTCGAACCAATTAATTACCATCGTCCATCCAAACGAGTATTTCAAACGAAGCTATCTGCTCAAGAACCTGGATAGCGCTGTAGATGTGAAGATGGAGGGGTAAAGGAGGCTTGGCTTGTATTTGGAGCATAACGAGGTCAGGTAGAATCCACCTGATCATGACAACAACTCGAGGAGAACCTGCCTCGACAGGTTCGGGTCCTCGGTGTACTTTGGAATGAAAGTCCTGACGTTCATAATATTGGGGCAACGGCGTTGGCAGAAGGATGTTTGGGTTTGGTATTAATCTACGTACGAATTAAATTTACAATTACATGTACCTAACGTCAACACTGTTCGATTTCCAAGGGGATTGTTATGAATGTACTGCAGACCCAGCCATAACATTAAGAGACTAATAAGAAATGCAGCAGGTTTGGCTTAGTATTCGATATTGGATAAGAAAGACATGTCGTTGGGAGTGATTTGATTAAGATAACATCGTGTTCTACCTACGGAAACTGGTCCCTTACGGATATCGCCTACTTTGCCCTTTGCAAGCAACCATCGGCTTTGATGAAATTGAATGTCAATAGTTTTGTTGCCATAACATCGCTAGTTGGAATCATTCTGTCTTTGGGATTGAGCTATTTGGTAGCGGATTAAATGGCGAGGAACAACTGACCACTGTCAACTGGTTCGAAGAAGCGAGATACGCACTCACCCTGTTCGCTATTTACTTCTGCCAACGATATCTGATTGAGATTTCCCCTCAAAACAGCAGAGTCAATGGATCGCTCAGGAGCCTCGAGGAGAGCCAAGGATGTGTTCATCCGCATGAGGCCGTAAATGCAGAAGCTCTCTCTGGGCTTTGAACAGCCATTTCTCCTTCATGAGGCTCTCGCGCTCATTGCCTTGACGAGCTTCTGTTCAGCGTCTCAACTAGCTTATCGGGATTTCCCATCTACTGGCTGCTCGTTGGCCAAAAAATTACGAGTTGTTGAGCTGTTCTTTCAGAGGTGAGGCTTTTGCTTGCTAGGAGGGAGGGCTTCCACTGGCAACAGCACAAGCACTCGGTGAGCTGATCAAGTGTTCCCAAGTCTCCTCCAAGCATTCCGGTAGACTCCAGTCGTGCTCAGGTTCGAACCGAGGACCT